GTGGTGAGCAGGCATTTCGACAGCATAACGGCAACAGCAACAATTGTTGCCGTTTCAGATAAATGGCAGCATTTATCTGAAACGACAACACTTTTGTCGTGGCCTGGGCTCAAGAAGCCGCAGGTAAATTCTGGGTTATGGCGATTAGGGTTTCATTACGTGCAGTCTTTCACCTGCACTGGGCCATTGAGAACTCTATGGCCAAAATTTTGAAGATATATCCTGCACAGAGAGACGATCATTATCCTCACTTGATTAATGTGAAAGTGGATTTAGTTCCCGAGGCGAGACACACGTGGAAAGATACAGTGGAATTTAATAAGGATGGTGAGCACTTCAAACTGGAATCCGTTTCTCAGGCGACTGAGTGGTGCAAAAAGTGCAGGTGGTTCCACCATACGGAAGATAACCCAGTCTGTCCGCACCACCCCCTTCATCATACCACACAGGGTGGGGGTGTGCACCCCCAGGCCGCTCGCAGTAACGGTGGCGGCAGGCCAGGTCCGAGTCGGGGCACACCCTCTTCCCACGGCAGATCTCAAGGTCGCGGTGTATATTCAGCCCAGGGCCCTCAATTTGTTGGTTCAGTCCCCCCTCTCCCCACTCAAAGTGCGTCCTCATCGCATGGTCCACAAGTCTCGGGAACTCGTCCACAGAATCAAGGCCCGACGACCCCCCTACCCGTGCATGGAGGTAACAAGGCCACTTCAAACACGCAACATCCAACTGGGCAGGGGATTCTGCATCCGCAGGGTAACAGGCTGCAATTAAGCAGTGGGGGGATGCAGACACCCTCTTTGTTCCCCCATCAGCCCTTTCCCCAATTCAGGGCCACAATTCCACTGAGCGCACAAGGCTTCACGAGTATGCATGGCCCGGGGTTGGGTACCCAGCAGAACTCAGGTATTAACAACGGTTTTCTTTTCTCCACATCGGTTCCCAATTTCGGTGCACAAAACTTTCGTTTTAACGGGAGAATAAACCCGATTTTTTAGCCTGAGCCATCACCACCGGGTGTACCTTCAGGGACGACAGGCCATGCCGGCATGTCTTCGTTGGACGCGTACTTAGCTGGCGCTTCGACAGGACATATTGGTCCGGTTCAGACTCCGAGGGCACCCAGCAGGGCATTCCTAACCATCCTTCCAATATCCCTCCACTTGGTGGGAGTGGGATCCCCTCGTCATCTGCGGGGAATACTTCTTCCCCCGGGGGGAGAGGGTTGACAGAGGCTGTACGCCCTAGGGGTTCGGAAGACCCCCCACTGAATGTAGAAGGTCAATCAGTCGACTAGCAGGAGTCAGCAGGTATTCTAGGTGGTTCGGCACGGAGGAGTGGTCGTAGATGCCCCAACAAGCAACGAAGAACGCGTATGGAGGATTTAGAGGGTGAGAAATCCTCCCGCTCCCTTAGCTTCTCAGGCTCGGAGTCTTCTGCCTCCTCAGTACTCCCCGCGTCGGAAGCACTGTGTAGAATGAACTTAGGAGCCAATGATCCACTGTTGGGAACCAGGGAAGGAATGACATCTGTAACAAAGGAACAAGGAGCCTCCAAGTTAATTGTGCCCGTGATATGTGTCCCAGATGGGGATGGTGCTCGCATCCTTTGTTATGACTTCAAAAACGGACGTTTGGGCGCCCGCATTCTCCACTGAGTTACCCTCGAGCAACGAGCTGATCCTCAAACATGTGAGCGATCTCCTGGATAACCGTTTTCCCTGCAGAATAGTACCAAACATTACTATGGGACGAGCTGTCCGTCAGTCTAAGTCCGGGGTTTGCTACAGGCTCTACGTCCCATTTGTTGACCTTCGCCTCCCCCCGGACGCTTTTCAAGAGCTAGAGCAGGAAGGCGTGAGTTGGGCACCAACGCAGTGGTTCGATAAAATTGATAATCCCAGCCTTGCACGAATCGTCCTTCCAAATGGACTCCCACTAGACTTTGTGGCTGAGTGTAACAGGAAGCTCAAAGGGAAAAATCAAGCCTCCCCTTTCTTTCGTGACAGCCTCACATCCTCTTGGATGCCGAGCAAGCCCAAGTCTGCGCAGGAACAGCGGCGAAGGAAAATACCGGCAGGGAATGGTCCGATCCATTAACATAATGGCCATACTCTGCCACGATGAACCAGGTAACGGTGGCATCGTGGAATGTAAGGGGGCTGAGGGACTCTAACGGGAGAGAGAAGCGGCGCCGGCTCAAGTCTTGGATCCATAGTCAAAGAGCCCAAATTGTATGTTTACAGGAAACAAAATCAGACTCTGCAAAAATCACTGATTTGGGCCGCTGGTGGGACGACCCTCAACTTTGGGCACCGGCCGATGGGACGAAAGGAGGCACTGCGATTCTGATCCATCGTGATCTTGATTTTGAATGGATCGATGAGTGTTTTGATAATTGGGGTAGATGGGTCTGGGTTAAAGGGATTATCGCGGAAGAATCCTGGGCTATTATGAGCGTGTATGCTCCGTCGGACAGACGGGAGCGGCTACGCTTTCTCGCTGATCTGGGTGACGCACTCCCTGATGTGGACAATTTGGTTATGGTGGGAGATTGGAATGTGGTTCTTAACCCGGGTTTAGATACGCTGGATGTCAGGCCGATAAGGACAGATGCGAAAATATTGATGGCCCTGCTAGAGAAATAGGGGTTGGTGGATGCGTTCAGAGTAACTCACCCAGATGAGCACGGTTTCACTTGGCACTCTGCGTCACGAAGGGGAGAGACTATTAAAAGGAAACAGAGGAGGTTAGATATGTTGTTTGTGAGAGCTACAACTTGGGATTGCCTATTGTCAGTGAAAACAGAAGCGGATCTGATGTCGGATCATTACCCACTTGTAGCCTGGTTTGCCCCTGGCCCATGTATCGACAGAGAACGTGTTTTTTTTAGATTAAATACAGAAATCTTGAAGGACGAGGGTATGAGGCAATGGGTAAAAGATCAGAATGAGGTCTGATCTCAGACAAAAGGCATGTTCTCCTCAACAGGGGAGTGACTCACAACTGGGCTTAGGATCATATCTAAAGCTCTTGCGATCTTCTCTATAATTAAAGCTCATTTTTGGAATAAGGAGGAGCAAAGCTGCAAAAAAAAGATAGAGGAAGCCGAAGCTGCAGTGGGAAGACATCCGATATCTGATTTATTCTGGGCAAGGGAGAGGGTGAGATGGTTTATTAAATGGGAAGGTATCCAGCTAGACAAACAGAAACTTTGGCTGGAAAGGTGCAAGATTAAAGGTATGGAAAAGTTGGATGCTATGTCTAAAGAAACCTTCGCTTTGGTGAAGCACCAGTCCCCCCAGCACAGGATAATGAAAGAACTCTCACATCCCTTTGATTCCAACCTCAGACCTACCTCGGAGACTGCAGGGATGTGTGAATATGCGGTCAGTTATTTTCGGGATATCTTGACATCTAGGAAGCCAATAGAAGAGCCGGACAGAAACTTGACAGAAACCTCGGATTTTTGGAATCAGACAACTGCAAGGATTCCGCCGCAAGGTAGGTTGGCTCTGGAAAGACCAATCACAGACACGGAACTGACCTACTCAGCCAATCAAATGGCCAAAGGAAAGGCCCCTAGGGGAGACGGGCTTCCAATCGAATTTTTCCTCTGTTTCTGGGAGTTGTTCTGCCCGGACCTGGTGAAGGTATACAATGATGTTCTCACAGGTGTCACTCTCCCCGCTTGCATGACAAAGGGGATTATCGCCTTGCTTTACAAGAAAGGCGATAAGAGCAATATCCGGAACTGGCGGCCCATATCGTT